TTGTCCGGCACAAATTTATATATTGCTAATAAAATTTCATTCAAGCTTTATTTTGACGTCATGATGCTTTATTTTGAATCAGCAAATTTAAGCTGAGATGTAGAAGCAATCAAACTAAGGACTTTTGCTGCATCAAATGAACCTTATCCAAGGTCAAGATGTCTATGCTACTGAAAGGAAAACTTGTCATTTTTGCAATACATAGATTACATGGTAGTAACTGAGGACACGGGGGCTGAAATGCACAATTGCATTCTTTCCATGGCTCTTATAATATACTGTACCCTGAGGATTTTGTGCAAGTATTCTGTAGGGGATGAAAGGCTAGAGGTCATCTGAACATAAAATGTTCAAGGATGGTGCAAGAAATCAAATATTCCCTTAGAGAGTTTTTTTTAATTAATCAAATGAAATATGTTTGTAATATCTCCAGTGCTGATCACTTTTGATGTTTTATTCAAAAAACCACACAATGTCTCTAGGTTACAGTAAAGGCACAATAACTCATGCAGAGGCTTAGAAGCATGGGATGGTAGAACACAAATATAATATAGTATTTTTGTCCCTCATGGAAAACTGCATCCACAACATAATATTTGTTCATTAATTCTGCTGTGGTGGTACATGATTTAAGCAGAAAAGGTTCTGCTCCCCAGAAAACAAGGCAAGCAGAGAAAAAACAACCCAGGGCAGGAACACCATTGTCTGCAAAGAAGAGATTTTGTGAGATGAGTCTCTGTGGATGGATCTATACAACATGTAATGAGGCCTGGTCACAGTGCCTTAAGCAATGGCATGAGACCACCTGTACTATTTAATCACTGGTGGAGACTCTGTCATGGGGGTGGCACCTCCCAGTGGGTATTCTCATATTCTGCCCTGTGGGCAGTTTGGCTGCAGTTTCCCTGGTTTTGTTTAGCAGAGACACAAGCCATATTGCATGAGGTGGTCTTGGGGCCAGAGGTGGCTCCTGGCTCACTTTGCATACAGGTACAGGTACGGGGTAGCTGCATGTGGCTCTGAGGTCAGGCAGCACTTTTGCCCGTGTGATGTAGCATCCCTTTGATGAAGGCTCTTCCATGCCCCTATACAATTCATGTATCCTTTTAGGTGTGCATGATGTAAAGCTTCACTATTTACCATTCTTGGTTGGTGAAAATTTCCCTCTGATCTGCTTATTCCTGATGATTCCCTTTCAGATTGATAACAGGGATTAGAAATACAGCATCCTGGCACCTTCACTAATTTGTGCAGAGTCCCCTCTTCAACAAGAGTTCTGGCAGTTGTGAACCACATGTCACCAGAGACTGCACACGTATTTAAAATCAGATTATATAAGTTTTGATTTTCAATTTCACTCCCCTGTGCTGCTGTTAAATACCCTAGAAAGCATCTGCAGCCATGCCAACAAAGACCTCTCTAGCCATCAAAGCTCTCTCAGGTTTGGATTCCATTTTCAAATGCACAAATGTAGCTGAAATAATTGCTGGTACTGTCATACCCACTTTGGCAATAGCAATAAATGGTTTATAGGCAGTTTCAAAGGACTGTTACTATCCATAAATAAAGCCATTTGTGCAGCAGTTTTGGTCATACTGTTCTAAGGCTGTCTTGCCAAAATCCTTTTGGGAGATAGCTGTGGCCAGCTTAAGTGTTTTACTTGCTGCCCAAGAAATTCTCCTTCTGTGATTTTAGTATATAGTGGGGGAGTGTTAGAGTGTTACTGAGTAGCCTAACAGGAAGGCTACTACATTTTCATCCAGGTTAGCCTTTTAGCTACCCCCATGAACTCCTGCCTGGACTAGGAACTTCCCTTTACAGGCCAGTTTCTAACTGCTAATGTTTAGTTTCTCCAGCAGTCTCTTTCTGACGGTTTTGGCCCAGATTCCAGCCATGTCCTTACCAGTACTTAGTCAGCCCTGCAAAGTCGCTATCAGCTTAAATCATCCTTGTATGCTAACAATTTCCCTTCCTTTCTGAATCCTCTTCTTATACATTTGCTTCTTTTCTTTATTTTCACACAGAATTCAGTGCACCTCACTTTGATAGAGAGATTGTTCCTCTTCTGCCTGTGCTAATGGAAGGGCATTTACAATCCCAAATCCCATACAGTGAAAGAAAAATGAAGCAAATACATGTATCTCCTCTGCCTTCTCTTTTGGAAGAAGTTAATAGTAAGACTATTGTTTTTTCATTAGATCACTGATATAAAGTTTTGACGCTGAACTGGGTACCCAGTACTATGTTGTCACTGCCCAAAAAGTCCATTGTAAATGTAATTTCTTCTACCCCAAACACACTACAGAGATGTAGGAATCAGCAGAAGGACCAGCTGTTCAAGAGTATTGTTTTGTGTCCAAAATTTCACCCAGAAAGGGGTGTCTTGAGGACTGTCCCACCAAAATAATTAGTCATTTGGCTGGAGAATACCTCAAGGAGAAAACTGGAGGATCTGGCAAGCTAGAGATAAGAATAATATACTGCAAATATTTTTTTTCATCCTGTGAAAAATGTAAGATGTTCTAAACTAAATACATCATCTCGAGATCTTTCTCATTGAGCTGTCAAATACAGAAGGCATATCGAACTATGAAATTGGTAACACACAAAAAAAAAAAACAAAAAGAAATCAAGATTGGTAGTGCTGGCTCTTGCTGCAAAGGTCTGGGTAAGGTAGCAGGGAGCTGCCTCTCAGCAGTGAGCACACTGGACATCTCTCTGATCATACTGGTCCTAGAAATAGTTGGATGAGGTCCCAGAATGGAAACTTGGCATTTGCCTAAAAACTGGAGACAATGGAAGCTGTTCCTTCTGCCACAGATGAGAAATTGGTGTATCTGTTGGCCCCAGTTCATAAGGGTGGACTGGTAGCTGGAAATTGCTGATCAGGAAACAGGCTGTGCTCACCCTGAGGAGCAGGAAGATCTTTAAGGGTTTACGGGCAGCAATGAGTGCTCTGTTGTTGTTACTGTCTTTTATCTACAGATATACCCAAGGTGCTGTTTATGCCACCTTTTCCGGGAGAGAGAGACAATCAGAGAGAGCGCGATTTTCTCGTCCAAATCATTGCTATTGACGACAATATCTACAGGACAAAATAGGGGACATGCTGAGGAAGTGCTTCTATGACAAATGGGCTAATGAAAAATGAAACAGGTGCTTGAGTGAGGTGCAGACTGCAGGGCTGGGACAGAAGTGAGCCACTGATACCCTGGGACAGTGCTCAACAAATTACTCTCTTAGGTCACTTCTAGGCACAGTGTGAGTTACATGGGGTTAACCTATGAAATTACTTCTGGTGCGGTTCTAAGGAGATATTTATGCTATATAAATGATTATGTAGGAAGCCTAAATTTAGACAGGGTACCTTCAACCACTCTGCTACCCAGAACATTTCTCACTTCCCATTGCGGAGCACATGGCCTTGTCTGAGCTTCATATCAGCATGCAATCTGGGCTGGTGTCACATAGCCCCTGTGCTGCAGCTGCTGTGGGACATGAGCCAGGACCTGTGCCCCAGGATGGAGAGAGGAGTGGTGAGTGACCTGGTTAGCAGCCTGGTAGCTGGTTCACCCCAGTAGCTCACTGAACCACAGGCAAATTTGGAATTTATGCATCTGAGAGGTCTCCATGGGGGAGGGCTAGTCTGGAATGGTGACCTCAGCAAACAGTGCTGATTTGTCTTGTTTGCCCTCCAGGAAATGTTTATTTACCCAGGTTTTTCCTGAAGAGTTGTGTTGCGTAGGAAGCCCTCATCTGAGGGATGGGGCATTGCAGTTCAGTGGGTATTTTACAACCTACATGTCTTTGATAATATGTGCTCTTAAAAAGGAAGCAGACATCAAAATCACACAACTGTTTTACCATAGTCGTTGAATATAACATCCATGATTGCCATTGCAGAGTTTGAAGTTACTTCTTTACTTAGTTCAAATTGCCTGTATTGTACCTTTCCCACACAGCCAGAGTCACTGCCTTCTGTGGTAGCCAACCAGTTTGTCTCCCTTATTTTTTATGCTGGGGGTACCACAAGAAAGAACAAAACATTCATATATTGGGAAAAATGTGAATGGAGAAATCCAAACCAAATCCACTTGGGGCAGTGGTACCCCTAGAGCTGTGTGACTGCACCTTTCACTGCTGGACCAGTCTCATACAGGTGTCAGATTCACCTGGTACTCTCAGCTCCTGCCTGTCAGGGGGCTGCTCTTATCTGCTTCAGTGCTCCTTGGTTAGGGCAGTCACTGTCTTTGTTTTGGCAAGTTTTGGCAGATGAAGATCCTTGCCTGAATACTGGCTAATGTAATGACAGATGGCATTTTAGCTAGAGAATGGAGAGCAGCTTGAGAGAAAGGCTAGGCTCCCTGCTGTGGGTTCATCAAGGCATTTTCACAAAGAGCCATTTTCACAAAGATCCACTTCTTCACATGTGGATTCACAATAATGCTGGTTTTGTTTGCTAAAGCCACCTGCTTTATCAAGCCAGATCAAAATTAAAGCACCTAGTAGTACATCTCTTGGTGGCAGGTGATTGCATCTCCAATGGAGGTACCAGGGCTCCTCTGCCTGAGGCAACCAGTTCTGCACAAGCTGTGCTCTTGGATGGCAAAGGTACAGACAGTGCAGTACTGGCCATGCTGCGTGGACCACCAGTGAGAGGCAGCAGGTTTGGGCAGCAGCTGAGCCCAGCAGTGGGAGACAGGGCCATGACGGAGGAGCTGCTGCATTCAAATCCCTTGGATACATTTAGCCCACCTGCAACTTTTCAAAGTGATTACTATCTCCACCAATTGGTCCTTATGCACCAGTGACACAGAATTTCTTGTTAAAAAATCAAATTGGCACGCTCTTTGAAGCAGACTATAGATGGCTTGTGTCTCTGCCTCCAGATAATTCTTTCTGCTTTCCTAAAACATCTCACAATCATAGTGCAAGCGTGCAAGAGTGTGAGCAGGCTGGGAGCAGCATGCAATGGCAAATGAGGTGTGAAAGACTCCTACCATCAACCACGGGTTTGGGCTGTGAGCTCTTCAGCCGCAGCGAGGGCCTGAAGCGGGTTCGGTCATTGAAGCTCCAGCTCTTCTGGACTTTGGTTGGGCTGCCCTCGGTGGCAATGTCAGCACTTGGTGAGCGGCGATCTCCGACTGAAGATTGCCTGTTTTTTATACTTTGACCTCGTGGGCTGGCCATCCGGACCCGCTCCTTAAAACTTAGCTTTTGACTGTGAGAGAAAGAAGTATATTTTATTTCATAGTTCCTTCACTCTGTTTCTTTTTTCCATTGTGCGATAATTGAAAATAATTTCTAAAAATTCTCACTGGTATGAATCTGTTTCTTACACACTTTTATTTTCATTGAATATATTTCATTTGTGAATGAAACTAATTTGATGTAATTGTTTTTTGATAGTAGCATTATCATTGGCAGTCTATCAGACAGTACAGAATAATCCTGTAAAGGAAACTAAAATTAACAAATACAAATTTCACCCAATTATTATATATTAATCTCTATGTTTTATGGTTTTTTTTCTATTCCTTGAATTTTAAATAGGTTTGTGTCCATCTTATGCACTTATGTTCAGTGCATTTCTGGCCATGTCTTCAGATAAAGAAAACTGAAATGTATTCTATTTTTACCACATGCCATGTAGTATTGTCTTGGTTTTTTTTAAGCAGGCAAAAATACTGTTAGTGTATTTATGCTTGTTCAGGATTTGGCACTTCCAACATTTCATATGCATGATTAGCGTTCACTCATATCCAAAATTCCTTGTTACAGCACTTACTTGGACAAGACAAAAACAAATATCCAAGAAACATCGTGATGACCTATTAATGGAAATGTAATGACATGCTGTGTACTTCCTAAAATAATTGCTGGAAATTAAGCTGGGAGCTGTCTACATGCAGGTGGTATTGGACAGGTGCTTTAGGACAGGTACAAGAGCCCAGCCAAGCTCATGACTGTGTCTCCTGGATCAATGGTGACCCTGTGGTCTTATGGTTGGCCAATCGTTAGCTGTTCTTTTCTCCTGCTGTGCTTATAACCCTCCTCTCCAGCCAGCTAAATGTGGGATATGTAGATTTTCTATTTCCTAGTGCTTAAATTACCTTTGTTTGTGTTCAAACATAGCTGATGAACTATTTGCCTATGCTTTTTCATTATTTGACGTTTTTGCCTTTGTTTGTCCCTTCCTGCAGCAGACGACACAAAGGGGAAACAGAAAGGGCGTCTGATACCAAGGTCTGGAAACCTTGTTTTATCTGCAAGGTTAAGCTCAGTTGGTTGAGCAAGGGAATGGTCATCTTGACCAGTGGTCCTGTTCTTGCAAGGGGAGAGATGATGGTGCCAATGCAGGAGCTGTTCATGGTATGATGTTACTGGGTCTTGCAGTCCTACTGCTCTGCGTAGGCTTTGCAGGGGCTTTTTAAAATACTAGAGCAAAGACTGCCTACCTGCAAATTACAGTTGTTCTTGAAGTTGAGACAGTTTCTAGTATTCTAAAAGCCTTTGCATTTAACTTCAGCATGCCCATAAGATGTTTTCAATGGAAATGAATTCTGCAGCTAATTTACTAATGCTAACATGGATTATGTGGTTCTTAGATGTTCAACCTACTGCACTCTGAAAATACAGTGTTAATATGTAATTATATGAAATGAAAAGTAGTTATAGGCTTCTGTGGCTGTGAAATGTTGAGATAAACAGATATCTTTGTCCATGCATAGCAGAACTTAGCATTTCAATTTGAATACAAACGTCACTGAGAGTAGAAAGAATGCAGTTTGTCACAGGTAAAACACATGCTGAAAACTTATTATGAGATAATTTTCAAGAATGATAAAAAATGAGCACGTTAATAACAAGATTATTAGATAAATGTGTTTCTATATGGCATGTTGAATTACTTAAAAGAATACCTTTACTATAATTTCTGAATGTAATCCTCTACTTCCCTGCCCCAAGTAAGCAATTGTTGAAATAAACACATCATGGTGCTGGAAATATTATCTATTTCCATTTCAAATTGCTACCCAGGTCTGCAATACTGTGTGCTGTGGCATATGCAATACAAAAGACCCACAGAACCTACAATTTGAAAGAAAAGTGAGTTCTAAAATTTAATTTTCAATACAAATTACATTTCAAGACTGAATTACATTTCAGCTCAGGAATCTTTTGCATTGTACAACAATGAAAATATAAGCTGTAAAATATTTATTAACCTCATTATTGCATTGTCATATTATACAACATTTGCAAGAGAATAAAAATGGACTTCTTATTACAGATATTATTCCTACACGTGTTCCCCTGTGCTTTTTTTTTTTTTAATGGCTCAAATTGTACTTGTTATTGAAGGATGAAATCAAATTATACTTTTTTTTTGACAAATCTTAGACTTAAAAAGTTTCTGGACAGTTCCTTTCCTGTTTCACTAATAGAAATGAAAATTGATAACATGGCCATAAAAACCAGCAGTGTAGACCATATGTTTTATAATTCCAGTAACCTCAAAATAAAAATGAAAATTTAAAAACAGAATTTAAAAAAGCCCACATGCTGATCTGTCAATTAATTTGTACTAATGAAAGCAGTCTGCCTTTAAATGATTGGTAGACATGGTTATTTTATTTATAAAAAGCTGAATGGTACACAATGGCTACTTAGCCTGCGTATCTTTAGTTCTCCAAATCAAAGCAATGAGGCAATTGAAAAGAACAGTAGACACTTCATCTGTGCTATAGACATTTTTCAGAAGTGCAACACTGAGAATGAAAATATTAATTTAAAATGCAGAGCTCATAAATAAAATGAAATCTGCTTTGTAGCAATGGCAATGTATTGGCATGCCAAGGGTCCATGTGGAGGATGCTGCATCCTGAAGAGAAACACAGCCCCTGAAGGAAGCATGGTTTGGAAACTCTGTTTTGCGTCTTGAGATGCATCTCCAAAGAGACTGGTTATAGCAGTTCTTCGCTTCTTGGATCCCTGTTCCTATTTGAAGGCTGGTGGGAAATGTTCCTGAAGTCACTGGGTCCTACTCAGCACAGGCACAAATTGTATGATCAGTAGCAGTGGGGATTCATGCTTGGGAGAAGAAAGCTACTGTCCTTGGGTCCACACTGCCATGGGGCTCTTCTATGTATGATAAATAACAGATCATGAAGGAGTAACTGTATCAGAGCATTTTGGAGGGATCTTGACCAGGCTTTTCCCTGGAGTGAAAGTCCCTTTCCTTATGGGCTATAGCCTAGTTCCTGGCTCTGGATGCAACAGTGGTAAAGATGGCATTAGAGATAGAGTGAAGATAATCTTATGCCTTTTCAAGCATCTCTGGACATTCTGTATTTGAATGGGTAGCCACTGAAGTCTTTAGGGCCCTTTATTATGATTTAATGCTGTCCAGTGCAAGCTAAAAATCCTTCACCTCTTTTTTTTCAGGACCTAGCCTATTATATTTTTTGTCTCTCACCTTTTCTCCTCTCTTGTTACATGGTATCCAAAGAAAATCCCTTGAATTAATGTAAAACCTGTTAATGGGCATTGGAAATTCACATATCGCCGTAAGTTGTCCCAAACTTCAAGTTGAATGTTTGTCCAAAAGGCAAAAACCAAGAGAAAGAATCAGGAAAATGAAATTACACAAGTTCCCAAATCAAACATAAATGACAAGGATCTAGAGATCCACAGCTGCCTCCAGTCTTCCCTGGCAATTGTAATCTCTGTGGACCTATCAATCCTCTATTCTTGCAGGTTGCAAGTAGTGGAATGTGTTCATATTGATAACACTGGAGCTTTGAAGCATCTTTTAGTGGAGATCAATTACAACTGGCAGCTGTGGAAAAGAAAGCAAACTACTTTTCTCTATTCGTTTGCCTTCTGGAAGGTCAGTTGCAGGGTTTTACTACTCATTTCTCCTGTTGCATGTCCAAGCCATTCACTTCCCAGGGATAGCAAATGACTTTCTAGTACTTATTTCTTCTGTTTTAGATTCTGCCTTCCCACCTTTGATTTATGAAGGAATAGGTGTTTAGGGACACTAGAGGTCACTGTAGCTTCACTGCAGGGGGAACGAACACCTCTGCTGGTCCAAATGACTAGATTGTGTAAGATTTTCTTTTAACTAACAAATACCTACAAACCTTTGCTTGCTCTGTCTTCCATGGACCATCTTACTGTACTTTTTTTTGTTAACTGAGCATCTCTTTCTTTCCCAGTCCCACTCTCCCATTTACCTGACCATCTTCCTGCATTTCTGGTCAAGTTTAACTTCTGCTCTCCTTCAGCCTCAGACCTGCAGCACTACCGCTTGCTACTAGACACAATTTACAGCTTATTTTTCAGCTTTTCATACCGAGCTGGCTGGTGGAAGCGGAAATAGGAAGAAATTGAAATGAATGGAGAGCCTGAGGGTGAGGGAGAATGCCTTGGGTCTTGAGACAGAAGCTAAAACTGCCAGAAGTTATCACCTATGTAAAATAACAGCAACAGATGTACAGGAAAATTTTCAGCATCCAATAAATACAGGTGTTGATTCTTACCAAACTTTACTGAAATTAGGCTAAGTTGAACAAATGCAAATGCAACAGATAGTACAGTGAGACCTGAAGTTCAAATGTCAAGACTTCACCACCAGTCTCATGCTAGGACCATGAACTCAAGAAATGTAGTGTTATATCTCATACTTTCAATGAGTAATAACAAGAATTTTGGGTCATAATATCTTATAGTTCAATTGTCAAACAGAAAAAAAAATGTTATGGAGTTTTATGCATTTTTTCCTTTTTCAGAACAGTTTCTGGAAGGAGAGAAATTATTTTTTATCTTCATTTTTTATAATCTGTTTGTACTTCTCTTGTCTTTTACATTGTGTTTAAAAAATAAGAAAAAAATGCAGTCAGCTTGAGATATAAATCATGGGTTTCTTCCCATAAGATCCATTCATGTAGCAATTACCATTTTTGGTAAGAGACACAATTGCTACAGAATTCAGCTGAAGCAAATGTTTGATTTCACATGCATTCTTCTACCTTCTAGAAGGTAGAAGGCACAACCTCCACAGGCTGTGTCCAAGGGGATTCTTCTCAACAACAATTCCACATTTTGACTCTTATAATTGCCTAGCATGTTATAGCTTAATATTCCCCACTAATTATTTGATGGAGAACTCAATTGCCATGGTTATAAAAATCCTCTTGGACTTGGGGAAATGTCTTTATCCAAATATTCAACCCCACTTTTAGATCTCTGCAGTGTAATGCATTCCAGAAGTTGAAGTCTCAGGCAGAGAAGAGGAACAGGGATTAGTCAAACCACGGCATGCTGTGCACTGCAATTGTCCCACTGGATGAGTTTCAAAGAACTCGTATCATTGCCATTGTGTTAATGGCATTGCAGGCAACAAGCAACAAGGGATTTACAAGCACTTAAAAATAAATAAATTAAGAAACATTGTTTGGAGAAGTAAGGAATTTAAAATGCTAAGGAGGGGAAATAAATGAATCATGCACCTGATGTTAGTTGGCATTCTCAAACATCATATGAATAGGCAGGATGCTGAATACCTATGTTTCCGAGGCGTGTACATCCTGAAGAGCTTCTGTTTATTACTACAAAGCTTACTAGGAGTGAGGGGAGATAGAGGACCGTGTTACAAAGCATTCCAGTGCAAGGTAAGGGGTTAGGCTTTCCACCTCAAGTTAGATTATGCATCACTGGCAGTTTTCTTTTTATATGGTGCATGCAGAGTGTTTACATTAAATCTACTTTTAGAAACAGATATGGTATAGGAAGTGGAGAGAATTCCAGAGTATCATTTGTTTCCCACAGAACAAGGATGAATTTTCCACTCAAGCTCCTATATTGGCAAAACTTCTCCTTATTGCACCAGAGAGATCTCTCTGAATAGGAAATTAATATTCAGGCTCACGGGTTACAACAGTAAATGGGTGACATTCATCCTTTGCAGACATTCAGTGCATGTCCTACACACAGCCTAAGGCTGCTCATGTTCTGAGGATGTCAAAAGATTGATCAGTCTTTATCTAGTTTCCTGCACAGGAACAATTTCATCTGTGTTGTATAACTGAACAGAAATAAATACTATTTGTGATCAGTGTATGGATTTGAAGATATTGAGAATTTAACATATAGGCTTTTGAAATAACTTGCAGAACTCTAGAACTGATTATAGAAATATCTCGTTTACAGTGTGGATACACTAGAGAGGTTGTCTACCAATACTTTGATGAATGATTATTTAGAATATTTGTGTGTAATATTTTGGGAAATACAACATACATATTTTTATTAAAATCAATGTGAAGCTACAGCCTCATAAGCTGTCAACTCAAATGCACAGCAACAATTGGTTACCTAATAAAAGACTGTAGGTCTATACATGAAAAAATGCAAGAATTAATTTCTGTAAATATAAGTCAATCTGGTAGGAAAGAAAATAACTTTTATCTAAAGCAATAAAAGTTTTTCTCCACTGTTAATACAGTGAACAACAGAGAAAGAAATTCGATGCACTACTTGTTCAAACACGTCTTCATTTAAAGAGTGAAACAAGCAGCTCACTTAGTTCACACAGTATCCCATGCATTAGCATTGCAGTAAGAAACAAGTTAAATAGTTGAGGACATTTATCTCAAAGTACTTTGCAGCAGTTTGCATTTACATTTTTGCCACAAAAGACCACATACACCACATGTATTTTCAGTGATACAAAAATATAGTAATATGTAAGCATAAGAGTGATAAACAGCCACTGACAAAAAGCAACTTTTTTAAAGGCACAGAGTAGTCTGTAGGGTTTTTACTGTAGACCAGGATCTCAGGAGTTAACTAGTTCATTTTTACACATACACTAATTTGCAGCAGTGCACATATTGGGAGTTTCTGAAGGGACAAACACCTTGGGAAGTGCCAAATTCTACACCCGGGATGGGGCAACCTGGATGTACGTATAGACTGGAAATGAGATGCTGGAAAGCAGCGCCACAGAAAGGGACATGGGGGTCCTGGTAGATGGCAAGTAGAATCTGAGTCAGCAGTGCCCTGGCAGCCAGGAGGGCCAACCATGTCCTGGGGGGCATCAGGCAAAGCATCACCAGTCAGTCATGGGAGGTGATTGTCCTGCTCTGCTCTGCACTGAGGTGGCCTCACCTTGAATATTGTGTGCAGTTTTGGGCACCACAATATAAGAAAGATATTAAGCTCTTAGAGAGTGTCCAAAGGAGGGCAACGAAGATGGTGAAGGGCCTTGAGGGGAAACCATATGAGGAATGGCTGAGGGCACTTGTTCTGTTCAACCTGGAGGAGACTGAGGGGACACCTCATTGCAGTCTACAACTTCCTCATGAGGGGAAGAGAAGGGGCAGACACTGATCTCTTCTCTGGTGAGCAGTGGCAGGACCTGAGGGAATGGCCTGAAGTTGTGTCAGGGGAGGTTTGGGTTAGATATTAGAAAAAGGTTCTTCACCCAGAGGGTGGTTGGGCACTGGAACAGGCTCCCCAGGGAAGTGGTCACAGAACTAAGTCTAACAGAGTTCAAAAAATGTTTGGGTGATACTCTCAGACACATGGTGTGACTCTTGGAGATGGTCCTGTGCAGGCACAGGAATTGGACTCAATGATCCTTGTGGGTCCCCTCCAAATTAGCATATTCTGTGATTCTGTGATCTTCCATTCAGTGAAAATAAAGTGAAAAAATCTGGCTAAATCACTGACTTCTCTTAAAGCCACAGCAGTTATCACTAATATGGAGCATGAATTATAGTTTTGAGAGCTGGATGTTTGGGGTTTTTTTTTGGATCTAGCTTCCAGCTATTGTAGGTAAATTTCTCCCTTTAAGTGCTCATAGGTACAACTGGGAATAGCCTTGCCACTCTGCAAAAGTCACAGTTTTAGGGGAAGATACTCATTTGCTGTCAACTTCAGTCTCACCTTTCAAAATGTCAGTTTTAAATGTTGCTGTTGAAAGAGTGGGAAATACAGCTAGTGAGTGCAAAAAGTTTGGATCCAGCTGTAATAATTTGAAGAGATCAATATGTTGCTAGTAAGCCTATGGAGGTTATGTATATGAAAAGCCACAGAACTGACACAGCAAATCTAGTCCCCTTGAGTAACTAGGACACTAAAAGCAGATGCATGCACTGTAAGGAAGAGGATGGAGTCAAGTGCCAGAGAAGCAACCTTGAAAAGTGGAATGGGACATGGGTAATTGATGTGAAGGCTTTCATCTCTGACTGAATAACCCAGAAGGGTTTGTGAACCACAGTGCAACTTTGGGGTGCATGTATTTTGGGGGTTGATGTATCACCAACACTTTTTTCCTTGGCTTTTCAGTGTTTTCTGCTGGTGGGTACACTCTGCTATTCTCTGAGCACGCTGATACTGCAGTGCCAGCTGCCAAATACCTGCTGATTCCCATCCCTAGCGAGTTTCCGAGATAGAGTAATTTCTCTTCTAACTATTGAGTCCTTTCCTGTTCCCAAGGGTTTGGGCTACCAGTACAGCAAAGACCAGCATTCTCTCCAGCTGCCTTAGGATGTGCATTTCCAGAGCTTTATTTACCTGGTGAGGATAGCCCTGCCAAGTCTTGCCTTTGCCTGCTGTAGGCAGCTGGTCTTAAGCTGGCATCTAGGCTGGGTGCAAATCCACCTGCCCTCCCAGCCATCAGCAGTGGTGCTTGCTTTAGGAGAGATACCAGGCTGCCTCCTCTACCTGAACTGCGCCTTGCGAGTGCAAACCGTGCAGCTGGGAGCAGGTGAGCCACTGCAGTCCTGCTTTTCCCCCATCTGCTGTGTCCCAAAACACTCCTTAGGAGGTGATGACAGAAAAGTTAGGAAACCTGGAGTCACAGTACTGAGGAAGTGCTGAGGATACTCACGCAGGGCAGCACAGACCCTTGCCACAGTGACATCCAAACAGCCCTGTTGGAGGGTCCTTCCCCTGCAATGGAGGGCTGGTGGGCTTGTTCACAAAGCCAAATGAAACTATATGCCTGTAATTTCCACTGTGATTTCTGGAAACAGCGAGCAACGATTTTATGGCAGAAGCTGGGGCGGTGCCCTTGCCCAGGCACTGGGTCTGGGGAGGCTGCTCGACCTGAGCCCCTCAAAGTTAAAACATGGGATTAGAAATGTAAAAAAATGCCTACTTTTTCCACACAAAAAATGGGACAAAAAAGCAAATTTCAGCAGCATTAGTCTATTAATATGAGTTAAAAAAACTCCAGCTTGTGATTGTTATCTATCAACAGTTACAGTTCACTGAACCTACTGTACAGAACTCAAGACATCTAAAAGCCATTAGGAAACAGCAATTTCACAGATAAAAGAAATAAAGGAACTACAAACCTGCTAGAAGATTCCCCTTGTTCTTTTCTTCAGGTCAGGGAGTGGGAGGGAAAAACGTAATTGTTATGCAGATAGTAATCACATTACTTAGTTATAGATAATGTTAGATATATGATAAATGTAAATGGGTATGTTAATTGGTGTACAACACACACATAACACTGCAACCACAAAAGCATTCAAGCAAGACTCATAACTACAATGCTTCTGGAAAAGAAACTTTTCAGTTGTTTTAACACATGCATAACATGCTTCGTACATACCACTGCAGACTGAGTTGGCAAAGCACTTAGGCAAAATGCATTGCTGACACATATATGACAGAAAACTGTAGGTTCTTTTTAGATAAAGTTATTTTTGGTAAATAAAAAGGTTTAATTTTATGATAACATGGCAATATCCTTATTTAAACCAACAAGTAGATGCAGTTTTGAGGGACAGTCATATTTTAGAATATTTTATATGGGATACAGCTTCATTATTTATGTAATTTTATATCTATCCATTTATACCAATGTTGCCTTCAACCTGTTTGTATATGTAAGAAAATCAATGTTCCACATAACTTTTAATCTAAAAGCTCCTTTTACTTTAGAGCATTTTGGAATTACAGTTATGGTAATAGATTACTTACAGCTCTGTTCTTGTCAACTCTTTGAAATTCAAAGATCAGCTTTAGATACCCAGCCAAACTTCCTTTTGGCTGAGCTTTTTGGCACACAATTACCTTTTAACTGTCATGTGGATGTTCATCACCCAGCTTTGAGAGAAACCACTAATTCTCTTGCACTGTCTGCAATAACAACAGTTAGGATGCTTATCAGAGCTTTCCCATAAGGCTCTTAGTGCTCTCCTTTTTGATCTTTATCAAGTATCTTTTACTTCCTGATCTGTGCCCCATATTGAGTCAGTCAACTTGCTGCCTTCTACTAAATCTTTTACTGAATTATTGAAAAGTCTTGGGCAGCCAGTGCTCTGTGAATTCTCACTCAAACTAGGATATAAAATATTTCCTGTCTGCCAAACTGTGGCATCAGGTCTTTTTAGTCATCTTCCACTGGTTGTGTGTATTAATGAATATATATTTTTCCCTAAGGAAATACTGAATATGTCAGACATTATGACAAAAAGAAGCAAATTCCCCAGTGCATTTACCTCCAGAATACCACAAGGTACTCTTCCTTTGGAAAGTTAGATCAGTAGCGATAGCCTTTTACAGAGGCACAGGCGTAAATATACCATTGAATCAAGCATCAAGCTCTGCATCAAAGTTAATATTTTCCTTCTTAAAGATAATCTGGAACAGAGTGAACCATTAACCTTGATGCACAAGTGGGTTTTTGGGAAAATGTTTCTAATGCTTGTGCATTTCTTAGATGAATGGCAATGATTTGTATTTGTCCCACTGTCCTAGGCTCCTAGATAATATTGATTTCATTTGTTAGTTGAAATTTTTAATGAGAGGACTTGAGAGGATTTAAGAAAACAAACCAAGACGAAACAGACAAACACTAGTTCTCTATAAGCTTGAACAGACATCAAGAACAGCACCAGCTGCCGTATTTGTACCTACTTTGTAGGGCTGCAGGTATGCAAGGCCTTCAAATGAGGCTTCCAGGTAGCAATGGAAACCGATTTCTCATCAGCAGCATAACTACGCCATACACACTACGTGCAGGATATGTGGTAAAAAAAGAAAAAACAAGGCAAGAGGGAGCAGGGGATGAAACAAAAAATTGAAAAGCAGATTAGTCACCAATACAAGTCATGTCTTTCTCTTATCATTCATAGCACTGATACATGCCTGAGGGGAGGAAGAATACTTTCATAATATCGCCAGGTGGCTGTCAGGTTTGTTCGGCTGGCATCGGTAGAATAAAACCGCCAGGAAGCCTGGTATGGGGAAACAATAGAAAAGCACAAAGGAACCAAGAAAATGAAGTGATAATGCCACCGCACTGACTGCATGGCAGTAGTGGAGTGAGGGGATTTTGCTTAGATTGGAATGTGCTCTGTTAGGTTGATTCGGGAAGTACCAGTAAAAACATGCCAAAACTTTTGTGAATCACAGTACACTTTACAGGTGAGGTAAGAGTTACTGGTTCCATGAAAGCACCAGAAGATATTCAGCCCATAAAGGTACTTAGAGAAGCATTGCATGGATTTATTTGTGACAAGTCCGTAGGGGACACCCACACAAACTTGCAGTCTGAGATAAAGAAACTGTCATAATACATTCTGCAAATTATAATGAAAACCGGGTAAAAAGTATTTAGAAGAAAAGAGAAGCATTTTCTGTGGTTTGGAACACTGCTAAATGTTTAAAACCACAAAATTAATAATTTCAAAGGGGAGTAACCAAAGCATAGCATTGAAAATCTATCCACTGCTTAGATTTATATCTGCGTGTAGAGAGTAAGACAGAGCCTCAGTTCCACAAGCTGGAACACTTTCCCTGATGTCAGCATAACTATATTAATTTGTACTAGCTGACTATCTGCACTTCCTATATATTGTCAACCATTATATGTCATCTACGTATTCTTATATGGAATATAATACCTTGTGTTTTCCTACTACATATCTCCCAGAAACACACCTAGTCTTCATCTACAGATGGAGAACCTGTCACTCACTTTATAACTTGCTTAGTTTGTTGATCATTCTCATTGTCAAAAATGTCTGTATTATTTTTAATTCAAAAGTAATTGATTTTGCCTTATATCCAGAGTTACTTGCTATGTTTCTGTCTGCTACATTTAATAGTCCTGTAGGTTCCAGGACTTCCTTTCTGGAATTATGTTAAAATAATTCTCACACTGAATATTTTTTACAAGCTAAAGAATTGAGAAAAGTATGTCCATATGAAACATTTCAATTTTCTACAGCTATCTTTAGGTCAGGTAAAGGTTCTGGCAAACAGTCTATCTGTGGCAACAGAAGAGTTAGCACAAACTAATTCTGTAACTGATTAGAAAATAGACATTATCCTGATAAGATTTCCACACTGATTTCCATAGGAGTTCATTATCAATATCTAGAACAGACAATTTAAAAAATCCTGGGCACAATGATATGCAGTTCAGACACATCCTGCATTTATGAACATGAAATTTTCTCCAGTCCTTGACTCATTTTCTTCCAATGTTTTATTTGCTTTCTCCAGTATTCCAGTCTCACTTACAAACTTCAGATGCTAAATTGATATATAATATATTAATATGAGCATCATCATACACTACAGTGGTAATAACAGCTTTCTTCTTGTTATGTTTATGGTTCTGTATCTAAGGACTGTAATAAAACCAGGTGGAGGAACATACTGGGAACTTGTATGAAGCTCTTGACCTTCATTTTCTGCTCTTTCTCTGTGTTTCTTGTGCTTCATCAAATCCTTTCTGGTGTCACTAATACTGGGATAGAGGTGTCTTGTAAAAATCTGAATTCACTGTTTCTAGGTCAAGTTTTGTATTTGTTGTATTAAGACATTTGGCAGGAATTATTTCACCCTAAAAGTCACCCAGATCATCCTCGTTTTTTTCCCATGAGCCTGCCCTCATATTTCCTATTCTGCCAGCCTTGTTCCATCCTCAAATATGTCTAGCAACAATCTGATATTAATTTTCGGATCACCGAATGTGTTAAACATGTAAATGAACATGTAAGTGCTGAAAAGCCTTCATCATGGAATCCCACAACAGATATTTTCCTTTCACAGTGATTTTACCTGTTGGGAGTCACTCTCTGAAATCAATCAGATAGCTACTGGTAATCTATTTAGCATGGTGTCTTACTAGTATAATCTTACTAATATATAAATAATAAGAATAGCTACATTCAAAACTTTAATCTATTATATGTTTCCTTTGGCAACCAAACTTGGAACAAGTAGATTAGAATATATGTGTTAGAAAATATGTTAGACAGTCATTCTAAAGTACAATAGACACAAAAGGAGTGTACTTATTTTTATTAACTATTCTAACAAATATTAAATCTTAAATATTTATTATTTAATAATAATTGAACGGTAATAACGGAAAACATTTATTAACTTTAGGAAAGCTTCAAAGACAGTCTCGCATCTGTCCTGTACTTAACATGGAACTTTAGCATATTCGTGCTCAGCTTCTTTTTTTGGACTTACTGTTTCAAAATTAAAAGCCAGCATAAATGGCACACATAGAAAATTTGGCATCCCAAAAAAATAAACTAGGGCTGTAGAAGATTATTTCCCCCCTTTTTTTCTCAGTGCATCAAGTAGAGCAAAGTGTGGTGCAAGATTATTCTTTAGAAGATTTTCTCATTTTTGACTAGCACTGTAAGTTAGGGAAAAAACCTACGCAAAACAGCTGCTTAACACATATCATGCCACTTTTTGTTGATCTGCACCATCATGACAATACTGGAGCTGAAACAACTTCACAGAATTTCAGATATTTTGGAACTGTTAGTGCCTACATATTTCTATGTTTAGAATTGCCTAATAGTGAAAGCAATTCTCTGTGCAGGACACTTTTTGTCTTCACCAAGTATATCACTCACTGTAACACTCTAAACCCTGTAATAAATAAAAAGTAGCTTAATATAGGCAAGAGTGCCGCACTGTCAGTTGGGTTGTCTAAGGATCAATTCTCTTTTCCCAAATAATTTTCTAACTGCAGGCATGCATTTGTCATCCTTGCCTTGGATTCTTCAACATGGATAGAAGAACTCGAAAACTACACTTAAAAATGCCATATACAGTCGGACTTGATGATCTTACAGGTCTTTTCCAACTTAAATGATTCTATGATTCTATACAGAATTATGGAACACATAGCAGTCACTAGATACAGTTATTTCATTAAACTAACCAGTTAAACTTCATTTCCACAAAACTTTCTAAATTTAATAGTAAGACTCACTCCAATCTGTATTTTAAATCACATGCTATTATCTTTTTTGTGATTTCATATTTACCTGAATTAGACTTGCAGCTGGATTCCTTCTTTTCTCAAAGTGTTTCTGACGATGCTGTTCCTGCACTTTCAATGCGAATCCCGAGCCAAGGATGCCCTGCAATACAGTATGTAATTTATCAGTGTGTAGGTAGTTTTCCAGCAAATACACATAATTAATTACAAAGATTTTATGAAGATGTTTCACCATATGATTGCTTCAGATAACACATTTATGACAGTATATGACAGTATAAGGCACAGTACCAGTGCCCCTTTCATGGTGCAGCAGGAGACTCCTTACATAACATCTGTGGCACTACCAATGACCAGCCACCCCAGCCATTACCTAGGTTTGTGCTGCACTACATTTCTGCAGTGATAAAGGCCATGGAGACAGATATAGATATATATTTATAAAATCAAGCAGGAATATTCAGTGGATGATGAAATGATCAGTTGGCAGATACACCAAATAGATGTGGACCCCAGAGTTCACATCTGCAGTACTCATTATAACCTTTGCTTTTAGAAAAGTTAAAAAATGCTTTTCTTAACAGAGTAAGACCATTTCTTCTCACTCTTTCCCATCTAAATAGTGCCCATAGTTTATTCTATAGGCTATGAAAAAAAGTTGATTATGAGACCTCTCCCATTTTAGCTTTTTACCTTTGAGTAAGATAAATTTGACTCCTGCTGAACAGATCCAAAGGCTGAGAATGTTTTCCTCCTTGACTTGCAAGGAGTGTAATAATTCTCCTGGGGTATGTCTGCATTATAAGGAAGAATATTTCCACTTGATTCTTAGTCAGAATAATATACTATTAGAAGTGCATAAATTTCACATATACCTCTTGTTTTACAGACAGATTCATCACAGAAGTGTTTATGAGGAATATTATTATCTGTGCATAGGTATGACATGAAGAACAGAAGTTCTGGCATCTCTAATATGGGTTAATCATCTTTTCATTGTAGTGCTGCTAAGACTAACTTTCTCGTTAGTGGTGACTAGGTGACAAAAGGAATTAATTACAGTAGGTGTCAATAAATGTCAAATATTCACAAACAGGTAATGTATTATAATTATAATCATAATGCATTGTAGTATGCCAAAGATACTGAAATGCTGTACCTAGACTAAGAAATAAATGCAGTGCACCAGCTGATTTAATGCTGTTGGCAAATGTTGACTTTTAATCTTGGTTTGTCTATGTGGTTGAAAACAAATGAAGTATTATAACAGACATGTTTTATAGTGATCTATAGATAATGTATCTGAGTATTAAAATATTAAAATGTGTTACACTGGAGACAATACAAAAAATACAAGTGTCACTTCTCAATTCACACTTACTGAATAACAATTTGAAAAAGAAAGGAAGTTCACTCACAGAAATGAGAAGTTATTTCTGAAGCTACACTATATTTTAGTCATTAGATGATTCTCATTTCCATTAAAGTCTCTTGAACATTGATAAAAACAACATAAACAAACTGTAACGTTTATTTACAATCATTCAGAGAAAATGATAGTTGCATTTTTTACATTCAATGATATTAACCTTTAATTGATTTAAAGCCTTCTTCTACTCTGTTGGTAGCCTGAACATGGTAACACAAGACGAGCTATTAGAAATATCTCACTTTTTTTTCCAATATAATCTAACTCAGAAAAACATGTAATCTACTTTTTGTTTTGTCTTGTTCTGAAAAATTTGAAAGAAAATTATTAATATATAAGGCACAATTCATAACAAAAGAAAGTATTTTCAACCTTACACAATAGTATGAAACCTAATTTAGGAATATTTCCTAGTTTTATCTGTGACAGAGAAACTAAAAACCCAAAACCAAAGCAACAACACCAAACCTTTTGTTTGGATTTTAGATAGCAATTCACTAGTGCTGTCACAGAGCAAAAAGCCTTAAACAGTTGCTCTTCATGTAGACAGCTTCCTTCAGCTTTTTGTATCATAGCAGTGGCAGGAGCTACGGAAGTTTCTATTATCTTTTTACAGATTTTATAGGCATACTCACAGCAGGTAGTGCAAAGAAAGAAATGCCAAGTAGAGCAAATCCTGCAGAAAGCAGCCTTCCAAGCCAAGTAAGAGGAGTTTTGTCTCCGTAACCAATGGTTGTCAATGTGATCTAAAAAGAAGTTAATGAACATTGTGGTTTACCAGAAGTCACTGACAGATTAGTTGTAGTTTATTTGCATTGCATGAAGCAGCATTTCCACCAAATAATTCAAGACATATTAAATATGTAGTTGTTTCTATAAAACTCAAACATAAATAAATTAACATTAGGACATTTTGAAAACTTAAAACTGTGTATGATTGAATAAAACTGAAATAAATAATAAATGTGAGAAAAACACCTAAATAAAAAATTAATAAGTGTAAAAATGAAAAAAAACTCAGAAAGCCTTGATTATAAATTTGAGGGAAAAGATGGGAGGTTATGTAAGCTGGGAAGAAAAAAAGTGTTCTTTTTCATGGGTGTAAAGGAGTTTCACCTATTTTCTGCAGGGAAATATAACTATGCATTTGCACAACTACACAAATATAAATTACAAAGAGATCATACTGGAAATATATAGCAGGGAGGAAGTGGATGCTTGCAGATGATATAAAGTCAAAGGAACTGCAAGAAGAAGCTTCATTTTCTACAAGCCCATCAGTACAATTTGAAACGTATTATCTCTTGAAACAAAAAACACTAATCAAAACATGGAAGGAAATTTGAGAAGTTCCTGATCCTTTCCCCTTCCTTCTGACAGGCTTAGATACACCTGTATCACTCCTGACATTAAGCTCCAAAGGTTAACACTCAGCAACAGATGCAGAGGTACCTCGGGCTGTTGGACCGTATTAGATCAGACCTACCTGGGCAGAGGTCAAAGGGAGGGCACCTCTAATCCCTTCATATGATGAGTCTAACCAGAGACTCAGCATACAGATACTTCAAAAGCTGTTCTGTGGAAGCCAGCACCCCTGCTGTGCAGTCCATGGCAGATTTTAGTGCAGGTGAGAGGGCTTGCTGCATGTGATTTGTTGACCACAGGCCGCTAGCAATGTGGCAGGTGCCACTGACATAATGGTGCGTGGGTGCTGTTCACTGAGAGTATCTTGGAGGCAAAAGATTAGGGCTTCGTGTGTGTGTGTGTCTGAGGATCTTCCCTGACCCAAGGAATTGTCCTCCAGGCTACTCTTGTCCTGGGAAGCACATCAGTCCCAAACCTGGGGACTCGACTGGTGGGAGAAAGTTGAGTCTCTGTGCTTTCACCTTGGGGAGTTTGGGTTCACATGGCTGCCTGACATGGGCAGCTGGAGGAGGTGTGGGCAGAGCAGAGGATTTCCAAAGGCTGAGTGGGAGGCTGCAGAGCGTGTGCTCAGGCAACGGCACAAGATGTTAAAAGACAAAGATAGACAACAGTAGGCTGAATGCCAAGGACTCCAGGGCCTGTTATTAGGGAGAACATGTGCATGGAGAATTATTTTACATTGTGTACCAAATGTGGGCAAGTTCAGGCTTAGCAAATATTCTGGCAGCAATGAATTCTTCAGGAAATTGCCTTCTAGAGACATTACTTTGCTTCCAGCTTCCTCAAAGTTCATTCCTAGGCAAGATGGCCAAAAAAATTCTATTTAATGCCGAGGTCACCACGGGACAAAAGAAGGAAAGTCTTTTGGAAGTAATTAGATTTCAACTATTTAGGACTCTGTAGATAGTAAACAGTGCTTTTAATTGCTCCCATTGTTGGGAACAAGCTGCGGGTGTAATTTACCCTGAGAAAGCCAGACACTAAGAGTGAGAGAGATGAATTCAGGCTGCTGCAGCTGTAATTTCAAGTGGTTATCGAGTCTCAAGTTTTGTAATGATAGACTGGTCACAGACACACGACTTTGCATAAGTATCATGTCTCAGTCTCCTTCCTTGCTCTTCTTCACTTCCCTGCCCCTTCCTCTGTTCCTGGCTTTTACTGGACTCTTTGGTGAGCCAGTGCCACCCAGGAAGGGGGAGAGAATGATCCACATTTCTGTGAGGTTTGTTTCTGCTGCTTTGGTGTGTTGTGTCAGCTCATGGATGTGCAAACAAGCTCCAGAGACTGCACAAGGCAGTGAGGGACTGAGATGGAGCAATAAGGAGGAAGGGATATGAGAATGCAGGTCCCTCATTTCTGGCACATGTGAGCTGATGAAGCCATGCTCTTGGCCTGGCAAAGGGGCTTGATTTCGTTTTCTGTTGTTTGCTGAAGATAATCACAGCTCTTCACATCAGAGGACAACTGCAAAACAGTTTCAGGCTATTAAGAGCCTGAGAGCAGTGAAGCACTTGAACAAATTAATCCCCGAATAAAACTTCCTCAAAATTTGTTTCCAGGCCAGCCACTGCAAAGCAGTTTGGAGCTCTGGAATGAGCCCACTTTCTTGGCTTCTGTCCAGTTCCCTATCTCTGCCAGACGCTGGAAAGTACAGAGATGTCTCCTGCCTGAGCTAAAGAGAAGGAAACAGAATCAAGTGTCATCTGCACATTAATGATATTGCCACCAAACTGTATTCCAAAGAAGTAAAAGATAAACTTGAACCTTTGGGACCTGACGTCTGAGAGTGATCCAAAACCAGGAGCAGTTACACAGACTGTGTCTGGAATTTCTCCAAAGAAAATAATAAGATTGTATTAAAGCCTTTCCCCCAAATGTTCTAGGTACTAAGTACTTAATGGTATCAGTCTGTGATTAAGCATATCAGTGGCTTCTTGCTCACTTCGAGCTGCTTTATCTCAGGGAGGTCTTTACATGGGTGTATAGGTGTCAGCACTGTTCTGTACTGTCTTATTCAACACTGAACAAATGGGTTCAATCTTCATTTTATACAACTCCCATCATACAAATAAGAAAATGTTTATCTGGACAACTTCAGGGTTAAGTTCAGGAATAATCCTCTGCATCTTTGTAAGTGTTGGAAGTGAATGACTGAACCACTGGCCAGGCCCTGACTGGAATAATCCCGAGATTAAATTAACAGTATAGGGTGTGGAAGACTACTTAATGTGAAACCACGACATGAGAAATTTCCAGACATCACTGATAATACTGTGAGAAGCAGACAGAAGTTACAGCTAGCACTGTGAGGGAAGGCTGGATCCCACAGTGGGTAAGAGAGAAGTAACCACAGTTCAAATGCGGCTGGAGGAAATTTTTGGGGACTTTTCAGGGATTACAATCCTTCAAGGGTAACAGCACAGTAGGACTGCATGAGATACCATATGCATCCCAGGGTGACTAGGGAACAGAACTACAAAATCTGTAATAGCAAACTTGTGAAGGTAGTTAGAGATGGGTTGTTTATTTGAGAGACTTGATCAAGAGAAGCAAAAAAATAATGAAAAAAGAAGATACAGTAAAAGAAATAACAACATGTGTAAATCATGTCTTTTTGGAGATACCTGCTGAGCAGCTCTGTGTCTAATCACCACAGACTAAACTAGGAAAATAAACCAAACCTTTTAGAACATATTTGTAGATTATTTCGCTCAACATGAAAAATAAAATGCTTAGGTGTTTAGCATGATCTGGTCATTGCAACATGCACAAAGGAAAGAGAGATTCCTCCAGCAGGTAACTCATCCCAAAATGTAGGATTTGGGCTTGCCTGAAAACAAATGTCTAGTACTACCTGAGATATCCTAGGGCATCTGAAGAGGGACCACCCACAGGAGAGGCAGCAGACTCTCCAACAGATCTTTGACTGTATGCTTATGTTTAAGCACCTGAATCACACTCCTGCATGGCTAAGTGAGCTAGCTGGGTTCTGTCTTTTATATCAGATGCAAACCACTTCATTTTGGTTCCTTCTATAAATGAGGTGTCTGGACAGACCAGCCAAGGCAGACACTGTCTCCCAGTCGGGCTTAAAACTCACAATGATGATAGAGTTTCTGTTATCTCATTGCTGGAGCTAATAAATATGCTAATATAAGTGAGGTAATATAATAATGAATGCCATTATATAACTTAGATGACTTCAATTAGATGAGATAGGACCCAGGAGGCCATCCTCTATGCTAATACTTCTTTCTGATGTCATTTTATGTTCTCCTAGAAGTATTCACCTTTTGAATCTTTATATGACATCACTTAACTGAAAAAAATGTAGTTTGCTCATGCTCTCATTACATTAAATGGGAAAAGTGTCTTCAATATTAACTCAAATGAGTTAGTCATTGTGACAATATTATTCATTGTAATATGCTTTGTTCACCAACAGGTCACTGTGGAGCGCCAGAGCCATTCTGTATCCAACTGTAACCACTAGATACTACTAGAAAATAATGGTATATTAAGACAAATTCTGTCAAATGTGTAAGAGAGAGAGGAATCTTAATTTCATTGCATTTGCAGCTAAAACTAATTAGTGTACAAACTAAATGTCACTATAAGCACACACAGTTCTATTCAACACTAGTGTTTCTCTGAAAACCATACACGGTTTGTTTTGAAACACTTAAGTTTTTTAATTGACCTTTTGTTCCCATATAGTTTGGTTATTTTCTTCTGTTAAATGAATATACCTTGTCTGTCAAAACAAATTTTGAACTTGAGCTCTTCATATAACATTCACTGTTGGGTACTGCTGTGTTAGGCAGCGCTGTGGGGACCCCAACCACAAGAATATTCACACTAGTAATACTAGCATGATGTTTAAATTGCAGGTTGCACAGTACAGCATGCAATTGCAAATACAGTGGAGTATTCATATGTAAATTTGGATGCCATATGCTGCCTTTCATTTCAATGTAAAAATATGGGCTTCAGAAATGGAGTCAGTGAAATGACCATAGCAGGGTATGGCCCTCAAATAATCTGAATTAATGAATGGGTTAATTGCAGCATGCCAGGGCTGATCCTGTAAGGAGGGGCATAGTGCTTCTAAAAGCTTGAAATTTAAGGCAACTATTTGTGCCTGACTTCAATGCTGTCTTTACTTTCTTGTACCTCTGCCATGACAGAATTCAGTCCAGGATTTGGTAGATAATCTGTGGCTTAAGTTAGAAAAACTTTTGCAAATAAACAGACCAATGAGACTAAGCATTGATTTCCCCTAGAATGCCACAGAATCTGACCTTTTCAAAAATCTTCATGTGGGTTACTCTGGCAGTAAAAACAACCATGACTAAGAAGCACATTATGCATTTCCCACACACTGTTTTACATATTATACAAAAAATACTATTATTAAAATGGCAAAAAATAACAGGTAAGGGGGAACATTGATTTCCAGTAACTTCGTGCACTTGCTTAAGTGCATTAAAAATTTAAATGTATCCATGCCATACACTGGGGAAAGAAGAAAAGATATAGAAATGTACAATATATATTGTTTGCAGGGTTTTTATTACAATTTGTTGTTTTTCCCTGCTGAAATCTACACAAGATTCCTATTTTCTCAGTTGCACTACTTATATAACCTATGAGTCATATATTTTCACTTCATAGTGTACAAAATATTTTAAGCACCACTTTATACAATGTTTATTTCCTAGCAGGGTTTTTCCTTAAAAAATAGCAGTCGGCAGGTAGTGCAGAAGCAAATTCTAAAATAAAGATCTTGTTCCTGCTGCTAGAGCTGCTTAGGGAGAAGGATCCAGATCTAACACGAGCCTAAGTCAGATGTCAGAGTGGAAGTCTGACTTTGCTGGGAATTTCTCGTTCCTTTGCATATGTTTTCACCCACCTGCTAGCAGGTGGGTACAATCCTCTCCTCAGTCCAAACTTTCTGCCTATGCAGAGCTAAGTCACACATGTCCTTGCAGAGAGGCAGAGGGTGTTTTCTGGAGAATCAAGTGTCTGAAAACATCCATTCCCAAAATGGTGCATTGCCACAGGAGGGTCTCTTGCAGGACCACATCCCCACTGCCACCCCTAAAGGGGAAATGGCATTTTCAGACTGCCAGAGCCAGGGTACCCTTCAGTGAGGACACCAGCATGCCAAGCCAGATGCTTCACAACCGTGTCAATACCGGAAGGGGAGGAAGCTTTAAGGCAAACCTCAGCTTTTGAAGAAAAGTAAAACAAGATAAATTACAGTGATGCAACTGAAGGCAAAACTTTCTCTCATGGCTTTAGCCAATATGAATTTTACATGTGTTTGGACTACAGGATAAAATGTGTATTTTATCATAGATCTGCCTTGATGCTCTAAAGCAACAAGTTTCAGGAAAAAATACTTTTGTATTAGACTTATTAGGTTTGGCTTTTCCAAGCTCCCAATTTTTGTGCCGATAACACAGAAATACAGTCTCTAGGGAAGACATGCAACAGATGACTAGCCCTTAGATAAACAAATTTAAAAAACACAAACTACCCTTACTAATAGTAAGTGACCTTGATCTTAGCTCAAAATGTAGAAAAAACTTCTTAAAATTATTTCCCAATAATTTGGAAAGGGCTTTTTCACAGTCCATGGGTGCATGCTCTGAATCTGCAGATACTACTAAGTCTAGATGAAATCTTGTCAGTAGAAGGTCTAAGGGGAGAAAGCTCCATCTGTGCATCCTTATGATGAGAAAGGGCGGCAGAGACTGGTTCAGGTCTTGCACTTATTCCAGGAAAACTGAGTGTTCTAGGTTATTTGGTTATTTAGCTAGATTCAGCATTAATTAACAGGTATCATTTCACTACCCAGCCACTCTCAGAGCACACTGTTTTTTCTACAGCACCAGAAGGAAAAGAAAAGCCATTTTATACTGGCTGACAATAACTCTGCTGTAGGTTTTCTGGGAGCAGATTTCTTAAGCTGCCTAAGTAACTCTCACAATTACAAGATTCTAGATCACTATAGGGCATTTTTAAGCAAAAAACCCTACACATTATGTTATTTAAAAAATAAGAAAATCAAAACTTCAGACCTAGCCTTTTGTTGTTCCTTTAAAGCCTAGTTTAATTAACCATGTAAGCATTCATATAATCCTCCATCTTTCAGAAAAGCAGTCAGACATGTACTTAGATACCAGAGATTTCAACAAAGTAAAAACAAATTATTTGATGGTTAAACATGACGTCAAGTAAATCAGGGGCTTTATACCTTTAAAAAATAACATTGCTAAACCACGATGGGCATATTCTTGCTTTTTGTACTTGAAGTACAGAGGAAGGAGAAGCAACATCTTTCTAAGGGTACTGATAATACTCTCCCTTTCACCACAAAGCTGGTGTAAGATTTTTTTCCCTCTTTCCTGACACTTGTTCCTCTTCCTGCACTGCAGCTTACAGCCCTCTTGATTTGTATCAAAGCAGGTCTTTGTGGGGCCATGTTACAAACTATATTACTGAAAGGCCATGGGTTAAAAAGTACAATGCCCCTCAGTTCAGGAAGGATATCAAGGTGCTGGAGCAGGTCCAGAGAAGAGCAACAAGGCTGGTGAAGGGACTCGAGCACAAGTCCTATGAGGAGAGGCTGAGGGAGCTGGGATTGTTTAGCCTGGAGAAGAGGAGGCTCAGGGGAGACCTCATCACTCTCTACAACTCCCTGAAAGGAGGTTGTAGCCAGGTGGGGGTTGGTCTCTTCTCCCAGGCAGCTATCAGTAAGACAAGAGGGCATGGTCTTAAGCTCTGCCAGGGGAGGTTTAGGTTGGATATTAGGAAGAAATTCTTTACAGAGAGGGTAATCAGGCATTAGAATGGGCTTCCCAGGGAAGTGGTGGATTCTCCATCCCTGGAGGTTTTTAAGATGAGACTGGATGTGGCACTCATTGCCATGGTCTAGTAACCATGGTGGTGTTGGATCAAGGGTTGGACTTGATGATCTCGGAGGTCCTTTCAAAGCCAGCTGATTCTATGATTCTCTTGAAGGTTTAGTGGTCTGGTTTGAAGCAGAAACACATAAACAGCTATTCTGCAGGATGGGCTGAAATCTGTCAATGTACAAATGAATAGCTGGAGGAGGGAGCTTCTCAGACAAGTTTTTTTGCCAGTGAAAACAATTCATCAAAGAGTACACTAAGTTAAAGTCCTCCGTAGGTGAAATTCAAAGCACTTTAGCATACTGGTTAAAGAGTTACTGTTTTTTTTCTGTACTTACTGTGCCCCACCAGAGAGCATCTGCATATGTGGAGAATTGGGTATTTGCATCTTTTTCCACCAGATAAACCAGGAAAGATGAAAAGATGAGTACTAAAAATCCTATGTACCAGGCTGTGATTAATTCCTAGATAAAAGAAAACAGAGATCAATATCCACTTTAAAGACTGAACAGAATGGCATCTTAAGGAAGACATAATTAAAAGATCTCCCTCTACATTTTTTTTGGCATTTGTTCAGTTAAAAGTCAAGTGGTTCCCTATGGCCGCAAATTTTCTTTGAAAGTGGACCAGATCTACTCCTATGGTTTGAAGCTTCAGCAACTTCACCAACAAATAACAAATTACAACTGCATATCAAGGACAACATTTTTAAGATATCCTAAAAACTGTCAGCATTAAACATGGCCTGATGTATTTGTGCTAGTTCACATTAAAGTGGGTGTTATTTCAGAAAATTTTGGGTATTCTGCTCAAAACTGAGTTTATGTCCTTGGCCTCTTGTTGAATCACATCAAGTGAAGATGTCAACCAGACAAAATTAATATCTAGGATTACATACCTTGCTATGTGCATAAACTACTGAACCTAATAATTTCCAAGTGCCTCCTCTTCGGTCCATACGCACCATACGAAGGATCTGTAGGAAACGAAGACTTCTCAGTGCTGATGTTGCAAAAATGTTACCCTGAGTTTTTGCAGAAACAACTGCTATTGAAGCGATGAGAACAATGATGTCTGAAAGAAATACATTACAGAAAACATTAATATCCAAGTATCAATAAATAGCACATATATGTACATGAGCTGAATGAAGGAGCTGAATGAAGAAGCTGAATGAAGAGAGAGGCTCTGTAGTGGGTGGATATCCAGAGCACTGAGATTCCTGTTTGAGGTAGGGATGTGAGGTCAGGGCTGGTGTCAGAACTACCTTGGGAGCCTCCAGGGTGAAAACTAAGGGTAGCAATTTTCAAAACATATGGATAAGAGGAGCAGTGTTGAAGAAACCTCATGTAAGTGCTTTGAAACCTGAGGTATCAAACTGTAGAAATCAATAGATGGATTAGAACTTTTCCCCTTCATATATCTCCCCATTGCAACTTCCCTATAAAAAGACAAAAAAGAAAAGTAAGCTAGGAAAAAAATAGAGCAGCCCCAGAGGCGAGTGTCCAGTGGAATTAGACTTACAAGCACAGTACTAATTTCCTATGAGAACAGACACTATGTGGTTGAGGAATGTGGTTTCTGGACTCAACTCCCCTGATGTACCATTTCCTGGAAGGGAGGAAATAGAGTGCTGCGTACTCAGAAGCATTCTTTTAGCTAGCAGCCTGGAAAGTTTGTTGAAGCTCAGCAAGTGTTAGAGTTTATTTCTTTGGGTCACAGATTAAAACTGTAAGAGAAACTTTGGTGTGCATGAGCTAATCTGCCAGCTGCCCTTGGAGCCAGAACATCATTTAAGGGGAGATGAGGACAAGCAGCAGAGTGATGGAACATGGATGCTGTGAGAAGGCATAATGTTCTTTTACAATAATTGGGGTGGACACATTGGTGTGCACGGAGTGGGAAAACACAGAACAAGCTGTGTAACTTCCTCACCTCAAGATTAATTTTCTTAACCATCTTTAAAAGCTTAAAGAGCCTTTGTAAGAAGTACCTGGTTTTAATCTTAGGGTTTCATGTTGTATGTTTCTATGCAAGGAAAATCTAAACCCATGTCTGCCAGTGAAAAACCGAAAGCAAGTCCTTGTTAATATGAGTTTTACTTCTTTTGTACTGGGTATAAACACTCATCTTGTCCCAAGCACAGCTCCTATAAGTCAAGAATTAGTAAGTGAAACTCCTCACCTCCACAGGCGAGCAGTGAACGGTACTGACTGTACCTACAGGTAGGAGACTGTTCTCTTAGCCTACCCCAGTACAGCAGGAAATAGTTTTTGTTCATTTTGCTCAGCCACTGAAGGAAATTGAGGTCTAAATACCTTTCCTTGCCTGCAAACATATTGGGTTTCTCTGAACTCACCTATGGATGGCTTTGTGCTCTCATTACAGTGCCAAGGGTACAGACAACCTGTACCTGTGGTTTAAGGACTGTTCTGTTAAATTGTGGAAATCTTTGTCACAAGGGGCTAGAAATTTATATAGGTTTAAAGCCAGTTGGACAATCTCGTGGGAGAAGATTTAATCCTGGGCTAATTAATACCAAAAGCCCACTTCTTGTTCAGGATGTCTCCAAGTAGGAGGTTGTTGGAAGCTGACAGACGCTTGCAGAGAAATATCACAGTATATTTGCCCTGCTTGTGTAATGTTCCCTGACTGTTCACTGTTGCCTGGTGTCACTGTTGCACATACTGTGTTGGGCTAGACTGACCTTCTGCCTGTCTTAAACTCTGAGATTTTAAAATACCTTTGGCTACTACATAGGTGAATCCTAGGTGGCTACTATAAAATTGGCTACCAAAACCACTGGATTTGCTTCTAGATGTAAATCCAACAAGTTCAGAGATCAAGAAGAGCCAGAAATGGATAAAGTATCCTGGAGTGTCTCTGCACAGCACGAGTCTCAAGAGCACAACAACCAGATGCAGAAGGTCTTGATGAGAATTCAGAAATAGGAAAACTGACAAGGAAAAGTTAGACATCACAAATTCTAATGGAGATCAGAAAAATTGATGGGATGGGATTGAACTCCACATGAAGACATTTGAATTTAGGTGTCTACATGTGAAGCAGGTGTTTAAACTTCCCACGCAGCACAAGGTAATTGTGTCAACAGAGAGGTGCAGCTAATCCTCAGGAGGGCTCCTGCTGTCTGCTCAGCTGCCTCATGCTCTGTGCTTGGTACAGAAAAGGCTTGATTCTGCTGCCCAAATTTATTTGTCCAGTGCCATTTGATATGCCTTAAGGTATCTGAGACATCTCCTAGATCTGTCAGCTATGCTCTTGGACCTGGGAAAGCTGTACTCTTCAAGAGAAGTCACTGGAGAGCACGGAATATCATGTAACAGGGGACACCTCTGTGTACTCTGCTCAACTAAGCCTTAGATCTCAATTGACTATACTGGAAGTATAGACACTTAGCCCACACATACCCACCTAAAAGCAAACTTCTATATTTAGTTGTGTTTATTTGTATCCAAGGTTCACATAGAGTGTGCTGGAATGCCTTGAACAGTACGGATTGTGCAGAAGAATCAGTGTCCCTGGTGATGAACATGATGGTAGGGTGATCTTGACTTGTCCCATGCAGGTCCAAGTGGAGCAGCAATGTAACATTCATTTTTATTTAGTGTTGACTGGCTAGTAGCAAATCAGAGACCACTAGTAAAGCAGCATGCGTTCCTGCAAATCATTCTTAGAACTTAAAAAAAAAAAAAAAGTCACCCAAATATTATGAATTATGAATTTGGTACAGAAATTATTAAAGTGCTTACTGGGGGTTTTGGTTACCGTGAACTAATTCCAACGGGACGTTTTTTTTTAAAAGTCAGTAACGTGCACCTGCCCTTACTCCTACTTATTCTAGGAGCTCTGACAGTTTTCTTTATAAAATAGTTTTATGAAGGCCCCCCACTTCAAAAAATTCAAATTAATTCAGTCTTGCCAGCAGCACACAGTATCTACCCTTCACTGCTGGGAGCCCTCTGCCCCACTAAGGGTCTCGAGTCCCCTCTGGCCATGAGGGACAAAGAAGCCAACAGCAGCATAGCTCTCTTTTGCCTTTTAAAGCATTGGTCCAAAGAATTTGTCTACTTGTGTATACCCTCCTGTCCAGAGGGTAGAGATGAGACTCTCCCTAAAGGGAGGAAAGGCTGAGGAAAAAGGGGAGGAGAAAATGCATTGGAACTTATTTGAAAAACAGCTGAAGGGAAGAGAACCTGCCCTGGCTGCTGGAGGTTTTTCACACCTTGCCCTCTCATCGTCTTCAACTTTTCACAGCCCCAACCCCCACCACCAAACCATCCCTAACTCCTCAGGCTGGGAACAGGGAAGGAAAGAGTGTGTCTATCACCTAAGTCAGCCTTCCCTGGCTGTGTTTCCCTAGGAAGCAGGGAAGGCAGGCAGGCACATTATTTCAGTGGAGTTTAACCTGTTAGGAACAGGTCTAAGATAAATAAAAATAAACACTTCTTGGAATGGAATCAAAGTCCAAAGAAAAGTTTGTAACAGCTGAAAGTCACTTCTGAGTATGTAAAACTTTCTTGATTTTCTTATCTAAACATAGCCTTGAAAAAATGAAAAGTTAAGTACTTTATGCTTTTCTCCCTGCCACATTTTTATATAGTATGCCTCAGGTGGCATTTGCCCTCTTTTAAAGCAAGGGAATAAAATACTATTCTGAACTTTCTTTCATATTCCATATGAATTTATCTAAAACCTCCATGGTATTTCTGTATTTTAAGGAGGCTTTACCAAAGTTTATTGATATTTTCCTCTTTATCTTTTAGTGGTAAAAGTGGGAGAACAGGTAGAATTAAACAGTAACATTTCAATTAATTTAATGGGGCCTCAATTTTCACTCTGTATCTTTCTGCAAAACACCAGAGAAATTTTGGATGTGAGAATGAGTAATGGGCTATATAATTCCAAACTTCTCTGTGATTACTTATTATAAGACAGAGATTTCTGATGCACATTTACCCTTTTTCTTTTTCCAAGCTAATATCTCGTGTATGATCTTCCAAAACCTTAAACATCTTCAGCCATGATGATGATTTTATTCACTCTTTTGAAATATCTCTCATATTTTTATCCTTGTAGATAACATCCTCTCTTGTTAAATCCAGTTTGAGATTTCAGATCCTCTCAGTAGCTTTTGCAATGTTGACTTTCGAACACTTCATTTCAAATTAAATTTCAAACCACTAATTCTTTGACTTCAGACCTTTCACCTAGTAACGCTCCAGAAATCCTGAGATTACATGAAAGTTTTGTGAATAGTAACTTAAAAAGGCTTTTTTAGTCAACAACCATGTTAACAACAGGATCCCCTCATGAAAAATAAAAAAAGATGAACCCAGAACTCATGTGTGTAACAGATTACACTTACACATTGTCCAATCTCACTAAAAAAGGTATAGGTATGTATAGGTAAAGACAAGTAACTGAACCCCAGTAATGAAACCTGAAACTTGAACAATTTATGTAAGATTTGTCAGCCTGAGTTCTCCACTTCACAGAGGAAAGCTAGTGTTGAGCTACCCTAGTCTGATCAACCTCCATCAGAAATTCTGGATTGTTTGTGTTACCAATGGAGGCGTAGTTGGCATTTCTAAGCTATAAGCACTTCTAATGGCAACTCCGTGACTGAGAGATCGATAATCGTAGAAAAGGAGGCATCACAAATCCTCATAAGAGATTGTTTTACTTCTAATTACTTTTCCAATGCAACTTTCCTACTATGAACTTTTGGGATGTTGTGAGATTTTACAGTATTCAAAGGTATCATGCAAATGGACCCAGTTATACAAGCAAACAGAGAACACAAAAGCTTTATTCGGATGTTGTGAAACATCTCAAAGCCTTCATGTGCCATCAGAACAATCTCTAAAATTACAGAAAGCATGTCAGGATGACTTCTTACAATGGCATGTAATGACAGAACAAGGGGGAATGGCCTTAGACTAAACAAGTATCAGTTTACAGAATCACAGAATATGCTGAGTTGGAAGGGACCCACAAGGACCACCGAGTCCAACTCCTGTGCCTGCACAGGACCATCTCCAAGAGTCACACCA